AAGATTGTAGAAGAATTGATGCATTTGAGGTACAGTGTTGGTGGAGAATATTGAAAGTACCATTTGCTGCTAAAAGAACAAACAGATCTGTATTGGAAGTACAGCCAGCGTGCACCTTGGAAGCCAGGATGGCCAGACTTCATCTCTCATGCTTTGGATATATTGTCAGAAGGAACCAGTCACTGGAGAGGGCTATCATGTTTGATAAAGTGGAGGGTCAGAGAAAAAGAGGAAGACCCCTAACGAGATGGATTGGCCACGTGGCAGCATGAATGGGTTCATGCGTGGCAACAATTGTGAGGTTGGCCCAGGACCAGGCAGTGTTTTGTTCTGTTGTGCATATGGACACTATGATTTGGTACCGACTACATGGCACCTAGCAACAACAACATACATGTGGACCTTACCAGATGGAATCAAGCTGACAATATTTGTGGGAAGAGATGAGGTGAAAAACTCCATATCTTCAGTCAAAACAAGGCCAGGGGCAGACTGAAACAGACCATCAATTGCTCACATGCAAGTTCAGGCTGAAACTGAAGAAAATTAAAACAACTCATGGGAGCCAAAATAAGACTTTGAAAATATCCCGCCTGAATTTAGAGAGCATTTCAAGAATAGATTGATGCATTAGACACTACTGACACAAGAGTTGATGGACTTGAAATACCTACTGATGAAGATCAAATACAACTACAGCCTGCAGTCTGGATTGCACCTCAGTACTGAAAAATGGACATCCTCACAACTGGTCCAATAAATAGCATCACGATGAATGGAGAAAAGATTGTGAAGTTGTCCAAGACTTCATTTTACTTGGATCCACAAACAACACTCATGAAAGCAGCAGTCAAGAAATCAAAAGCCATACTGCATTAGGCAGATCTGCTGCCAAAGACCTCTTGAAAGGGTTGACCATGGTATTTTCAGTTGTCGCATATGCATGTAAAAGTTGGACAATGAATAAGGAAGATCATAAAAGAATCCCTGCATTTGAATTGTGGTGTTGGAGAAGAATATTGAAAGTACCATTGAATACCAGAAGAGGAAATAAGTCTGTCTTGTAATAAGCAAGACTTTGTCTTTTGTACTTTGGACATACTGTCCAGAGGGACCAATCCCTGAAGGAAGGACATTGTGCTTGCCAAAGTAGAGGGTCATTGAAAAGAGAAGACTCTCAGGGAGATGGATTGACACAGTGGCAGCAACAATGGTTACAAACTTATCAGTGATTATGAAGATGGCATGGTGGGGAACCAGGCAATGTCTTGTTCTGTGGTGTGTAAGGTTTCTGTGAGTTGAGACCAACCGGAGGTGGTGGTGGTTGTTGTTAGGTGCCATCGAGTCGGTACTAACTCATAGTGACCTTATTTATGCACAGTAGAATGAAACACTGCCTGATCCTGGGCCAACCTCACTACTGTTGCCGTGCTTGAGTCCATCGATGCTGCCACTTGGCCAATCCATGTCATTGGGGGTCTTCCTCTTTTTCTCTGACCCTCCATCTTACCAAACATGATATCCTTCTCCAGCAACTGGTCCCTCCTGACAATATGTCTGAAGTCCGAGAGACGAAGTTTGGCCATTCTGGCCACCAAGGAGCACTCTGGCTACACTTCGTCCAAAACCGATCTATTGGTTCTTTTGGCAGCCCATGGCACTTTTAGTATTCTTCTCCAAACAGTAATAACTACAACACAGTGTGAGAGAATTAATGGTTGTTTCTTAAAGCCATTCACCGTGGTGACGCTGTTAACACCAGCACTCCATAATGAAAACAGAAGGTGATCTGCTTTTCTCGGAGACCAGTTGATTTAATCACATGAAACAAGTCCAGACTACTGTTGGACCAAACAACTGGGTATCACAGCCTTGCCAAGTTGACACAAAAATTAACTAAGCATCCTCGCTGGGAAGTGTTCACAGATGTAAAAAGAAATGCACCATTGTTTCTGAGAACACTGGGGGACCGTATGCATAGTCTCAGAGGATACAGCATGCAGCAGTTTGGCATTGGGCCTCAGAGTTTCAAATCAGTGGCATCGTCTTGGACAGCGAGCTGTGTGTGGATGGAGTTTTAAAAGAGCAGATTTAAAGAATGCAAAGGTGTTCTGCAAGGTGCAGAGAGGGTTTAAAGATGGGAAAGAGTTAGATGGAAAGCGAATTCATTGCACATTGAGGAGACCCACCAGTAATTTCTATAAACAGCCTTTCGAACATTGTATCTATGGGGCCATAGAATCTCCTTTCAAATTAAACCAGTTCTAAATTAAATTTTTCACTCTGACAATTTGAACTTGTCAAATCTTTTTCCTGGAAAGAGGCTAATTTGATTGGTCTGAAATAGCTGAGAGTGATAATCACTTTACCTAATTCTGTTTGAAGCCTAGTTATTGAATGTACGCCAGTAAACTAAATTGAGATGATTACTCCATGCAGTGGTTCTTGTTGGTTTTCTGTTGGCATTGTCTTGGCATGAGACCTTATGAAATATTAACTGCTTGGGACTTTCATGCCTTAAATCTACAAGTAAATTCTCCCCACGTCTCTCTGCCCTTTGCTTTTTATTTGCAACAAGTATAATTAGAATGTGTTTGAAAAGATGTTCTGATCATTTTAGTAATCAATTTAAAGGGCAGTAGAGTGCCTGGTACCAACCCCCTCCCACCGCCCACCCCCACCCCCAAGGAAATCAGACTTCAAACTACATGTGAAAGCAGGGTTTATTTTTTTATAATTCCATCTCCCGTTTAAAACTACCTTTAACTTTTTTGTTTTCATGCTTTTTAAAACCTTATTGCAGCATATGTATCACAAAGTTTGCCATTAGAACCATTTTTTAAAAATAGCTTTTCATTGTGAATTGAGTGAAGAGTGCAGAGCAGAGCATCAGTCCAACATTCTACAAATCTGTACCATCAGTGAACAGTATTTACCTCTTTCCCTTTAACTCTTGCGTTCCTCCCTGTGCCTTCCAGTACCACCTTCTGCCCTCTTCCAACCTCCCTCTTGCATCGCAGTCATTCTCAATGTGCACAATTCAGTGCCATGAATTTCATTCACTGGGTGGTCTCTTGTGAGAACCTCAGTGCCCCTCAACAGTGACCAGCTCCTTTCCATTCTCCCTCTAGCTTTTGGTAACCAATAATAAGTTGTTGTTGTGAAGTGTCTTCAAGTCAATTCCAACCCATAGCGACCCTGTATAGGGTTTCCATGGAGCAGCTGGTGAGCTTGAACCACCAACCTTGCATTTCAAACTGACTTTGCAGTCTAGCTCATTAACCCACAGCGCCACACCCGGACTATTCTGTAATACCTGAGGATACTTGGTGGCTCTGTGGGCTTGGCATTGGACTTCTAAATGCCAGGTCAGTGGTTCAAGCCCAGAAGTTGCCCCAAGGAAGTAAAATGAGACTGCTTTCATAAAGACTTATAGTCTTAGAAATCCTGTGGAGCAGTTCTGCTCTGTCTCTAGGGTGACTGTGATTTGGAATCTGCAGTGGTTGTTTATTATAAACAATATTTTGTACCTTTGTTGTGTGTGCTGGCTATAGTAGATTCACACATGTATGGGTTCAAGGTCTGCTTTTGGGCCATTGGCAATTTTGGCCTACTTAGGTTGTTTTTTTGATTTGCAGTAAATGTATACACAAGGGCTTGAAAAAGTTCATGGAAAAATTCCATTCTCTCTCTCTCTCTCTCTCTCTTTTTTTTTTTAATGTTTTATTGTGAATTATGTGAGAGTTTACATGGGAAAACATTAGTTTTACATTCATCCTATCGTATATCGTTTCATTGCCATGGTTACAATCCCCTCCATGCATCATCAACCAACCAAAGGGTACACCCTGCAAGCCTGCCCCCTGGTTGTCAGCAAACAGCCCCTCTCCCTCTCTGTGTGTAAAGTCCCCAACTGCTCCATCTCTCCACGTCATCATCTCTGCCTCCATTTCAGGCATCACTGCTTTTCTGGGTAGAGTCTCGCTCTCCGCTCTTCTCCCTTGATGGTCCCAGGGACCTCCGTTCCTAGACTGAAAAGTTAATCACTCCCCTTCCATTCTCTTTTAATTCTGTTTTTTCACAAGCTTTTTAAAACCTGGTGTGGCGCTGTAGGATCGGCACGGGACTGCAAACCATTAGGTTGCATTTCAAACCCACCAGCTACTTCTCGGAAACCCTATACTGGGTCGCTATGAGTCAGAACTGACTTGATAGCAGTTGGCAACAATAACGTATGTAAGCAGGTGTCTGGCATTTCAATAATCTTCCCGTGTATGGTTCAGTTAGATGATGTTCCACATGTTCAGCTGACACCTCTCCTGTTCCCACATGTTTCTGTCACCCTTCCACCCTTTGTAGAAGCTACGTGGACCCTAAGCAGTGAGTCCCTTTGTAGAAGCTACGTGGACCCTAAGCAGTGAGTCCTACACACCCCTCCCCCCAGTATAACTCAAACCAATGTTGGTCTCTGCACTTGCCTATCCTAGATGTTTCAGACACGTGGGATCACACGTGTGCCCTCTTGTGCCGGATGTGTTTCACTCTGCAGCATGCTTTCAAAGTTGACCCTTGGGTTTGGACACGTTGGATTGATTGATGCTCTGGGCCTACTGGTGTGAAACGTGGGCCGGATGGGCTCAGGGTAGTTGATTCTTCATGGCATTGTTTGTCCTTTTCACGCCCTCTCCCACCCTGTCCAGCTGCTTCCCTTTCTCAACACATTGCCCCTTTGGTGTCTTTTTGTGTCCTGTGAGTGTCCTGAGCTGTGGGCCGTCTTTTGACCTCTTCCCTCCTCTACACTCCTTATGTTCACCCCTTTCTCCAGGGGTCTCTGGCAGGCCAGCCCTGCTGCCTTCTAATGCAGAGCTCTGAGATACTATGAAAGTGGACGAAGGCGGATCTGACTGCACAGGGGAAAGGCGGGGCCTACATGTGTTAGCCGTGTTACAGATTTCACCTGGAAGGTCGCCCGACGCTCACACAGGGCCGGGAGCCCAGGAATGCACTTGCCTTTCAGCAGCCGCGTGTTCCACACGCAAAGCCAGCTGTTGGCCGGAGACAGCTGCCTGGTGAGGAGGCAGCCACAGAAGGAACACAGACCCACCCCTTAACTGCTGCAGGGGCCACACAGAAGCCAGGGAGCAGCAACTGGCCCCCTGCCCTCCCCAGAGTGGCTTCATCAGGAAGGGCTCAGGGAAGAGCCTCTGGACTGTGCATGGGGCCCACAGGGAGCAGCTGGGCACAGAGGAGGGGGAAAAGGAGTTTGAGGACCACAGTCAGGATGCAGAAGTGAGATCCTTAGGACGTGATCTAAGTCTGTAGATACACATCCTTCAGAGGCACTGGCTTGGACAGAATTCCTTTTATGAAAAATGTATATTCAAAGAATGTATATCCGTCCCCTTCTCGCCCTTTCAGTGGATCCCCATTTTTGTGTGTGAAGGAAAATACTTTAATTTTATTGCAGGTATTTCGGGCATATGTCTAACCTTTTTTTTTTTTCCAAAGGAAAGAAAACGTAAAAATGATTTGCCTTCTGGCCCCACGTTAAGTCTGAGTTCTTAGATGTATTGCAACTGTTGCTTCCAATAAACTGATCTGTGAATTCAGTTGCACTTCAGCCTCCTGAAGTTACCATTTCTCTCAGTCAGTTTCATGTGACTCTGTCAGAGTGTGTAATGACCCTCTGTGTTAATTTTGCTTTTTAGCTTCTTGGTGTGCACAAAATGACTTAGTCATGATTTAGAGATGGAATTTTTTCATGGACTTGCAGTCAAGTTGAACAAGATGCAAGTTATTTGCCGATGAGCTGAGTGGCAGCACAAAGCTCTAGAATGTAATATACAAAATGCAATATACAAAACCCGAACTATGGTTTGAACTACCGACCTTTCATTTAGCAGTCCTATGCCTTATCCACAGTGCTACCAGGGAGCCTTTTGGAATTCTTACTGCTGACAGCTTTCATTCTGTTGTTGTGATATTTGCCTATGGCTGGGACATTTTTAAAAAGCTTTTTTATTGTTGTTGAAAGCAGACACTACCTCAGCATTTGTACCCATGTAATTCGGTGACAATGTCGTTCCTCAAATTGTACAACCATTCACCCCTCTTTTCCAAATTGTTCCCCGTTAGTGTAAACTTCATCTCATCTGCCAAGTAAGTTACTGCCGTCAGTTTGGTCTGTTGGAGATTTAATGATTAATAACTGAAGTCATTTCAGGAATTCATTGAGCCTCCAAGGGTTCCAGAAAATCTGAAATCCATGAGAATTAGAAATTCTATTTTACATTTCCCTCTTTTTGACCAGGATTCTTCTCTGACATCTTCAATCAAAATGTTCACTCATGGTCAGCTAGAAACATTTTTATTCTTTTGGGGAGTTTTCCTGATGGATGTCTAAAGGATTGGCTATGGTTTGGTCTTGGCTACAAGTACCCAAATTTGAGTTGGAGGAAAGAGAAAAAGAATGAATAATACAATTCATATTTAATTTGCTTTTTATAAAAAAAAATATTTTTGCTTGCCCTGCTTTAAAAAACAGAAGCACATTAGGAAATGGGGTTGGCATTTTTCCTTTCATAAATATGTAATTTCAAGGAGCTGCACAAGACACAGCACCATGGTTCCTAGATGGTGACCCAGCAGCTGATGTGCACAGGGCTGTGCGGAAGGTGCTGTGACTGGGGGTGGGCGAAGGGCCCGTCTCAAGAGGGCACAGCCACCCAAAACGTCAGGGACAAGAACGGCGGACTGGTGTTAAGTGGTGGACACTGTTTACAAACCAGATGTATTGTACTTCTTTTGAAATTTAATATGGGTCATCTGTTGTTCTTGGAATCCATCAGAAAATGCAGTTGTAGAAAAATGACAGTATTGAGTTGGGAAGCTCTTATACTCCATATTGGTTATTTTATACTGGAAATACCAGAACTTTTAACTGGTTTGGACCATTTCTATAATGGTTGATGAAGCAAAACTGGAATAGGCCCAGATTTTTTGAAATTTGGGTGGTCTGGAATAGTAACTGGGGCGGGAAACTTTGCAAATGGAAGTCCTGGACTGGGAGACTCGGAAGAGGCGCTGTGAACCCTTTGAGAGTCTGATGGAGGAGACTGGGTTTTTGTAGGAGTCATCCAGAGTGGCCTATGGACCGCCATCTTAGGGGCGGGCCCTGTTGTTTCTACTCAGCCAATCAAGAGAATTGGTTGCTGTGTAGCGTGGATGCTGCCCTTGTTTTCTAACCTGTTAGGTTAAATTTCTAGCAAGGCATCCCATCATAATTATACCCATCTGGCTTTTGTTCGGAATCACTCACATTTTACAGATTTGGATCAGTTTTGGTTTTGCTCCATCCGCCAATGACTGAACCTGACAGAACCTGTTTGAAGGCTTGGGAAATACCCATCTCTGAGACAGATAGCCTGTTGTTAATTGTCTTCTGAGTTGATTCCAAATCTTAGCAACCCTGTATAGGATTTCCAAGGTGGTGGATTTGAACGACTTCTTATCCTACAACACCACACCAGGACTCCAGATAGCCTAAGAGGGTTTTTTATTGTTAGAGGTCTTGTGATCTTGGTTTTGGCCTTAAAAGTGTTTCTGTGTGCTGAAAGCCTTGTGATTCTGACCCTCTGGAGTCCTGGTGTGGTGCTGTAAGATAAGCAGCACTGGACCACAAGGTTAGTTTGAGCTGCAAGGTCAGTGCTTCAAAATCACCAGCCACTCCTCAGAAACCCTTTTCAAGGTCACTGTGAGTCGGAACCGAATCAAAGGCACTTAACAACAGACCATTCTGAGAATGTACTTTGGCACCTTGTGACTTCAGGATGGAAAATCAACAGTACCTGACAGCAACAAACTTTGGGTAATTTGAGAAAAAGGAGGTAAAGATAGAATCTGTTTGGAAGTATTTAGGAAGGTGTATCTGCTTCTCATAAGTCCAGACATAGTCATGTGACACACAAACCTGAGAACTATGCATTTCTAATTTCTTTTCTCTAGGAGTCCTGTTGTGGCCCTGTAGGGTAAGCACTCGACAATAGGGTGGGTTTGGACTGCAAACTTAGTGGTTCAAACCCACCAGCCGCTTCGCCGAAACCCTGTATAGGGTCGCTACGTGTTAGAACCGACTCAGCCTCATTTAACATCAACAACAGATTTGTCTCTGGTTGTTCCTGCGTATTTAGTTGTTTGTTATTCACACATTTCTAGTGATGTTTGATATACTGTTTCTACCAAAAATTAGGTTCCCCTAGTTTTATCCCTATGTTTTCTTCCAGGAACTTTATATATATAGTTTTAGCCTTAACATTTAGGGCTTTGATCCATTTTGAATTAGTTTGTGTATATGGTGTGAGGTGTGGATCCTGTTTGTTTTTTCTGCAAATGAATACCCAGTTTTACCAGCACCATGTTTCTTCCCCCACTGAACAGACTTCCACCTTTTGTTGACGAATCAGCTGCCTGTAGATGGATGGATTTTGCTGACGAATCAGCTGCCTGTAGATGGATGGATTTTGCTGACGAATCAGCTGCCTGTAGATAGATGGATTTTCTTCTGGCTTCTTGGTTCTGTTCTAGTGATCTGTGTGCATGTCTGTCATTGAACTGGTACCAGGCGGTTGTGATTACTGTGGTTATATTGTAAGTTTTGAGATGGAAATGTGAGATCTCTTACTTCGTTTCTCTTCAGTATTGCTTGGTTCTTCGGGCCTCTTTCCACATAAAGTTGGTGAGAGGTTTTCCATTTCATTAGAGCGAGTTTTAGGATTTGCATTGGTGGTGGTGGTGGTGTGCCGTGGAGTTGGTTCCGACTCATAATCACCCTGTACAGGGTTTCTGAACATTTCCAATGCTGTAAATCTTTATGGGAGCAAAAGCCTCATCTTTCTCCCACAGATCAGCTGGTAGTTTCTAACTGCTGACCTTGAGGTTAGCAGCCCGATTCGTAACCACTACACTACCAGAGCTCGATAGGATTTGCATTGGGAGTAACTTATTGCTCGTGTGGTAGAAGGTTTTCACCACTTTGACCCCCTTTGGGACGTATGTTTCGGGTGTGACTAGTTAGCTGGCCCATGCTATTGTTGTTGTTGAGTGCTGTCCAGTCGGTTCCAACCCATAGCAACCGTGTATAGGGTTTCCAAGGAGCGTCTGGTGAGCTTGATTGAGGATTCAGTTTTTAGATTCTTTAGTGACCCTTTCCTTTAGAATGTTCCCCAACTCAGCCCCTCTGGCTCTCTCTCCCTCCTAGACTTCTCAGCAGGTGGACGGGTGGAGTGGGATTGAATTGCTTTTGCAAGAAGATAGCAAATGGCTTCTGACCTGGGCAATGACCTACTTTGGCTTTTTCTCTTTTTTTGGTCTACTTGTTTACTTCTTTCTTTGAGAATCTTCCAGAACATTGACCTCCTCTTTCCTCACTGGCTCCATTTAATAATTAGCCTCTTCTTCTCAATCCTTTTGATTCAGACATGGACTCCCTCTTAGGTTGACTTCTGGGAGTCCGCTCAGCTGGGGACTCAGCCCATTTGTGGCTCACAGCCCAGCCTGTGGTGTGGCCAGACCTCAGGACACCAGCGAGGCTCCTGGTCTTTTTATGCACTTCATTTAATTCTTGGCAACTCCCAATTTTTCTAAATTCATGCTTTAAACATTCCACATTTTAATTATGAGTGGATGTTTGCCATTCTTTTCATTTTGACTCATGCCCCTTCCTCGAAGCATTGCTCTATCCATGCCATTAAGGTTGACTCTACTTTCCAGAGGCAACTCTACCTCAGTTCTGTTTTGAGTGCCTTCCAACCCAAGGGGCTCATCTTCCAGCACTCTGTCAGGCAGTGGACGGATGAAGGGAAGAAGGTAATATTCACCACCTATGCAGTCACCATGCTGGTACATTCCATGTGTGTCCCTCATCCTGGCAGAAGTCGTCATTAACAAAACCCACTGCCGCCGCCATATGACACTGTGGTGGCTTACATGTTGCTATGATGCTGGAAATTAAGCCACTAGGGCTCGAAATTACAGCAGAGTTACTCACTGTGGACAGATTTCAGTGGAGATTTTAAACTAAGACTAGGAAGAAACATCTGGAAATCTACTTTGGAAAATTAGCCAGTGTAAACTCTGTGGATCGCAGTAGAACATTCTCCAACTTGGCTGATTTAGGGACAGCGAAAGGATGAACCAATGGCAGGAGGAGGACACCATACTCGGTGAAGGAGGAGGCTGCTGAGGGCACTGGCAGCCCTTGGTGAGATGAATTGGCACAACTGCCACACCCA